CTCCCTCTCTCTCTCTCTCTCTCTCTCTCTCTCTCTCTCTCTCATCAAATATTCAAGGCACATATGACTTCCCTTGGCTCTCCTGGTACTTCTCATACTCTTCCATGGAATCAAACACATATCTAGGCCCTCTCTCCGCCGTCTGATCATCATTATATCCATTATAGTAAGACTTATAATTCTCATGTTTAATCTCATTCTCATTCTTCACGTCATGGTAGTACTTTCCATTCTCCAAAAACCTTGTGTCACTCATACCCTTCTGTTCACTCCCACTCTTCTCAGTTCCATATCCATTAACGTTGCCATAATAGTTGTCGTTGCCCTTGACACTGTCCACGTTGTAGCCACTCTTTTCTCGAAGCCCTCGTCGCCTGCGGCGTGTTCCTCTGTCAGCATCTCGTTTTCGACGTCTGTTTCCGGTGGTGTCTGTTGATATGTTCCGTACAACCCGTAGCCACTATCCGTCTCGGTAGCAAAACTTGCCGTCGGTACCGGTGCCGGCACCGGTACCTGTAGTTCGGAGGTTTCTGGTGCCGGTGCTGGTGCCGGAGTCGGGACTTCGGTGATCACCTTGTTGACGGTGCCGATCAAACGGGTGACCTTGCTGAAGAACCTGCTCTCTCTGGCTTCAGCTTGTGCTGAAGCGGATAAGAGAAGAGCAACGAAGAAGAAGAGTGAGAAGTGTTTGGCAGCCATTGTAGAGATGAGATAAGGAAATTAGGGCTTTTGATGGTTTTTTTTTTTGTGTTGTATTGGAAGTTTGTGTTCTTCTAAAGGGGTTTTATAGAGTTTTTGTTTTGTGTTTTTATTTGTTTAATGGCCGATTAATTATGCGTGGATTAAGGAGAGAGAAGGGAAAAGAGAAGTGGGTAGTAGAAAATGATGGAATATATTGCATGCTACATGTGCAATTTATTGAGAATGTCTATTTTCTAACTAACAAATGTGATGAAAGTTAATCTTTATTGCATGTTTCAAAACACAGAGAATGGTGTTGGTCAGAAAGGTAGGGTTTATTTTTTCTTTTTCTACCTACCCAAACAGACAATTTTTTTTTCTTATTTTTTATTTTTTATTTTTTGCCTTTTGCTTTCATTGGGGGCAAGTCTGCAAATAATAATTAAGACAAAGGGTCCTACTCTCCTTTTGTAGGTAATTTAGTTAGCAGTTAGTTTTTTGTCTAAAATAAAGTGGGAAAAAGTAAAAAAAAGAAAATGAGAAGGGTATTTCTGGTAATTAGTAATGGCCCAGTATATTAATTGCTCTTCTTGAGGATATCTTTAGATTATATCCAATGCACCTTATTTTTGTTAGTGAAAAATTTACTTGTATGACCATTAATAGTAATTATCACTGTGCGATGTGAACATGTTTATAAGCTCATATTTTAGATGGTTAAAACAACTCCGACTATACTAATCATTTCATATTTTTAATTAAAATAATTAATTATTTAACCCCTTTTTTTATTTTTCTTTACTTCAACCATTCGCTAAATGGTTAGTTATTTTAGAGAAGGTCTCCACACTAGTTAAATATAAGTTGTATGGAGTGGCTAGCTATTTCATTTTATATACTATTTAATTATTTCAATTATAATAAATGTAAATATTTTTTTGTTAGTTCAATAAAATTATTCTATTTTAAATTTAATAAATATTAAAATAATCTATATTTAACGAAAATAATGAATATAATTAGAGTGACTTACAAAAAAAAATTACTAACTAACTTTTTAGCTATTTTAATTAAAATTTAAAGAGTTCCCTTAAAATATTCTTACATTCTTGTTATCAATGGGATATTTTGCATTTTTTGAAGGAAAGCACTGATATGTATATAGATACACCAGGGCTCAGTATTACTTTTGGATTGGCCTAGTTGTCCTGATCCGCATGTGGTTTGTGCACTCTGTACAGAAACTTTCAAAACCATTAATTTCCTACAGACACAAGAGAGAAGCCCATGCATGTTTGGTTTTGTTTTATTACCAACACTTGTAATTTGGTTTTTATTATAGGGGCGTAACCCATCTAGGCAGATAAAATAGCACATGTTAAATTATAGGTCTCATTCATTTTACCGATTTAAATTTAAAATTTAAATTTTGTTACAATAAAAAGTTCTCAAAAACAGTCGCATCTAACTTTTTTACTACAGTAAAAAATTCTCATATAAAATTACATATCAACTCAAATTAAAAATTCGAATCAACTGATCTATAATATCAATCCCAATTTTCATACAAGTTTGAACAGAAAATTTAAACTGAACTGTAAATTTTTGTGACAAAAAGCATTGAATATTCACGAATAAGTAATTGTATTCAATTGAACCAAAAGTTGTTGGGGTTTTCGTAAAGCTAAAGTCATTAGCCATAATGTTGTGTTTCATCTATCAAAGGACAAAGCCATCAATCTTGCGGGAATATATCCTTTGGCCCGCTGGCGTAATCAGCGGAAGTACAATTGAAATTGCAAAAGAATAGAAGGATTTTAGAACATTAAAAAAAAAAAAAAAAAATGGCCAAATAACGCAGACATTTTGCTTTGGAGGCCTTTTCCTTTGGCGAGTCAACTTTTCTGACTTTTGATTGGGAGTTTGTTCCAGAAATTGAGGGAACAGCAAAGGGCAAACAAGAGTTTTCTCGAAAAAAAAAAAAAAAAAGCGCTGAGGGGTGAATTGTAAGGACAAAGGCCCATATTGTCACCTGATATTTGACAATAGTAGTATGGAGAAAAAGGGTTTCTTCTGGCCTGGGTGTCTAGGTAATGGATCAATTTACTGGCAAAACCGGGCTAAATTAGGCTCCATTTGGATCACATTATGATAATTTAAGAGTTCGTCTAGAAGCTATATTTAAATTATAATTTTTAATTTTAACATTTGAAATTTAAGTTTTTTATGAGAGAAAAATATTATAGTAAAATTAATAATTTAAATTTGAGTATATGAAATAAACGGGCTGTAAATCTTTTTTGTTTGAAGTGTTGACAAATATGAAAAATGTGGTTTAAATTGCAGTCAGAATTGACGTTTAAATATGCAGTTAAAGTCCAAATCCAAACAGAAAAGAAAATCTAAATTGTTAAGAATAGTGTGGTTTAAAGTGAGATGTAATAAGGATATTTATTATTTAATTAATGAAATAGCTTATTCATTATTTATGTGCATGTACAATACTTAATGAATATCATTGAAAATTTCGTGATTATTTATGTGATCTTAAATATTGTAGATAAGTGTTATATACGAGAGAATAATATTTACATATAATAACCAAAATAATGTTCACGATGAATTTAATTAAAGATACGGAATCTTTAATTAAAACATTATTAATACACGTGATTCACATTAAGAATGGAATGGTGTTATCCGCATCATTAATATAGAGAGATATTGAATGAGTATATTATGCATAATAAGATTATGTAGAATTGAGACACGGACACATTTGATTTTCTGATAATTTCTATTAACTATAGAAAATCAAATTTGAGTCTACCAATAGTCATATATTGAATTATCTTAATCATGAGTTATTAGTAGACTCATGTTTATGGATTCGTATTTTTTTATTTACTCAGTATGAATTTCAAGATTCTAAATCATATTCCTTTTCTCTTGGAAACATGATGAAGTGGATAGCCGGGAATGCTAATATATGAGATGAAATTCATTCCTTCTTCTTTGAAGAAATAGATAAATAATTTCCTTGAGATTTGATTCAGTACTTAAATAAGTAGCGAGCTCGTATTCATGAATGTGTTTTATGAATATAGTATTCATTAGAGAATCAATGGTATTAAAGGATAAAGATGTAATTAGATAGATTAACGGATTTTACCTAGCTCTAATTATGAGTTATTTATGGATGATTGATCTATATGTAATAACTATATTGAATGGACACTTCAAGTTCTTAGAAGTAAATTATGTCTATAATTTTGAGAGTGCAATTCTAAGTTTTTAATGGAATAACTTTTAGAATTAATTAAATTAATTAATTAAAAAGTTTAATTAATTATTAATTTTATTGGAGCTCAGAATTATAGGTCCATAAGTCCCTGCGTCATCCTTATAATATTTACAAGACAAGATAAATTATCAGCATTTAATATCACTCAAAATAAATAATGTGATTATTTAATTAAATTAATTTTAGAAAACATTGTGGTGGGACCACAGGAGGTCACATGCCCAAGCACATGGAGATGCAAGGGGTGTGTGACACAAGTATAATCCCACAGGGATTCAGTTGCTTACTTTTCAAGATACTCAGTTTACTTATTTGACAAGTTTTCTAATCAAATTCAAAAGGAAAGTGAAGTATGACTTTATTTAGATTTAAATTTGAGCTAAAATTAGAAATTAGAGAAAGGAGGTTTTTTCTCTCTCTCCTACTGCAAATTTGCGCCAACCACAATGAGGTCTCCCTATGGTGTGGCCGGCCATATAGTAGAGCGAAGGGAGAGAATTTCATTTCCAAAATTAAATGAAAAGTTGTATTTTAATGAGATTAAAATATAGTAGTAACCAGTTGTTCTATTGCTTTGTACTCTTCAAGTTAAAACAAATGGGTTCTCTTAGTGTTCTACAAATATGAGACAATAGAAAATTACAGGAGAGAACTCTTTGCTCTTAAAATTCTTAAGGTAGCCAAATTTTAGAGAGAGAAAAAGAGAAAAAAAGTTATTCCAATTTCTAATTTCTTCATATACATGTATTGATAGAGAAGAGACATAAATTAGCGAGTGATCTAATCCGATAGTTCTTTATTAGATCTCACACTCTAAGTCTTGCAGATTTTAAGGACTAGATGAGAAAAATTCAGATTTTCTGAGAAAGCTTGGACCTTGGACTATTCGTGGTCAAAGACCTTAAGTTATCCACCTAAGCGTTCACTAAATATCTATTTTTATACATTAATATGATTAATTTATTTTTACATAAATTAATATAATCTACAAAATATTTAAAAGTTTATAAAATTTTTTATTATACACAATTTGCACTTCGCACTACCACGTTTCCGCATACAAAAACGTTTTAAAACCCCACAATAATTTGTCAACCACTAAGCGGAAGCTGAAGGAGACGTTTGGTTCATGAATTAGAATCATGTGATTAGAACTATTTTCGATTTACGTGTATTTTTTGTGAGAAAAAATACTATAACGAATTATAAATCATGATTTAAATCATGGTTTGAATCCTCCAACCAAACATCCCATAAGTTTACTATGTCACGACAGGCTCTTTACCATATTAATGCATATGTATCTTCTCATTTCGGTAGAAGTGAATAGGTTGGTAACTGGTTCGTCGTACGTTCCAATATCGACATGCGGCGAAACCTAGGCAAAAGCAAATCCAACTTCTTAACGGGTTCAAGAATACTAATAATGGCATAGAATTACCTTTAAAAGGAGGTGCCCTCCTGAGACGTCTTAAGTCCTAGTTTCTGCTTGATGGACTAACTAATTATTAAACTGAATTGTCAGATCAACCATCAATGGTTCATTATAATTCTAGGGGTTAGGATAGGAAGAGGGCTAAGCTCAACAAAAAGCACATATTGATCTTGGTAAATATTTAATTACCAATCATTAATAGGTATTTTTTTGTGACCGTCGTTAAAAACTTATGCAGTGGTTCAAGCTACCTTTACTTATGCTATGAATGATTTTAAG